CCGAATAACTGCTAACGATACCTTATCGAGTACTATATATATCCCCATCGGGTATCCGACCTATTGTCACCTTCAAACTCAAAGCACCCCTATCTCCCCATTCACGATATCCATTATCTCATATATTTAAGCTCAGATTAGATAAGTGTTTTTCATATATTTCGTTGTTTGTTTAAACTCCAATGAGGGGCTAAACTCTTCCATCTTAATTTGGCTATATTGAGGTTATGTTTTGTAAGTTGTGAGTTATTTTCTTTAATCATCCTCTTTTATTTGAATATTAATTGCATTCCTAATTATAAAAGCCCATACTCATCATAAGTGTGGGCCCCCTTTGGGAGTGTTTGATGCCAGTACTTTGTTGATTTATCTCAAGTGGGCAAATCTGGCCGAATGCTGTTCAAGTATTCTCCGTTCGGGATGTATGGACTCTTCCCTTTTTTGTTGGGCCTCCTATTTCCTCTGGGCCTTCTTTATACTTTGGGCCGGGTGTATTGGGCTTGGGCCCAATACCCCAACACGAGTCCCCCACTTCCTATGTCTCGAACGGCAGTGAGTGCATAAGGAAGTAGAAGAATATTGCCCGAACGCGGCTCGGGTATGTAGCGGACGGAATTTCGCCAGTTCCCAAGGCACAATCTTGACGGTTTTCTGCGGCTGTCGTTTCAATTTCCCGATAACCGTCGTGATTACTTGTTGATATTTCTCCGCGTGACACATGTCCTTATAATCATTTTAGCAACGTGTCCTCCCCTGATTGGTTGATGAATCGGCGTGTCAGGTTTATAAATAGGCTTTTTCGGCTTTGGTTCTGGGTTTCGAAAACTTTGAATCTTCGGTCCATTGCTCTGCCTTCTCTCTAGGACTTCAAAAGTTCTTCTTGCTTAGGTACCCTTCGTCCTTTCTTCTTTCCTTTCCCTCTTCTGTTCGATAGTCATGGCACCTCGACCGCGTTCCGGTAAGTCTACCCTTGAGGCGACTTCCTCACAGGAGGTTCAAGCCGACGAAATAGAGACTGCAAATGTCAATGTGGAGGTTCCCGGTGGTAATTCTGGAGACGGTGCCTCTTCCTCCAACACCTATCCGAACGGTACTAAGTCCGATGATGAGCTTGAACTTATAGAAGCCGGGGGCCCCTGGATGTCCCACACCACATGATTGATTTAAACATAATTAGGTTGATTTAAACCTAATGAGCTTGAACTTATAGAAGCCGGTCTAAAATCGCTGGCTCTTATCCTTCGTTTCACGCACAAAATACGGAAAATGATGAAGTTAATCTTCCAATTCGGCGTCCGACCGCAGCTTCATAGATGGCGTAGTTCACAGATAGATGATTATGGTGCTTCTTCGCAGACAGCACGCTTCTCAGATTGACGGCTATGGGGCTTCTTCGATTCCATGCTTTGTTTCTTCGCAGACGGCGCGAGATAGACGACGACTCTCTAGCTGCTAACCTGTTATGTTGTATCGAAGGCTTACTTTGGAAAATTAAAAAAGCAGAGGGTTAGCGCCTAGTGGGCCGATCGATTTGGAGTACGGCGAGGGTTTCACCTAGTGGGCAGGAGAATTTTTGGAGTGGCGCTATGGTTGAAATATTTCAGCGACCAAAATTGGGGATATAGGGAAGGGATACTAATACAGTCGCTATTAATATGGTCGGTTTTCAATAACTGCGATCATATGAAAAAGCGGTCGCTACTAATACACATATTGCGACCAAATTTGACGTCGGTCGCAAATTGTTTGTCGCAAAAGCTCAATTTTCTTGTAGTGTTCTTTGAAAACTTCTTTGCGGCTGATCAAACTCGAGCAGGCTCTGATACCAGTTGTTGGTCCCAGATTTATGTAGACTAACACACAACTAGATGGATTTCAACAATAAACAGAGAAGAATGATTTCACAGAATGATCTAAGGCAATATCGAGAACAGGGAAACCTTCCTTTCTAATTATCGATAAGTTTTTACAGAGTGATGCTACAGAATAGAATGATCGACCTTTAGACCTGTACACTAACGCGCATATTTATAGGCATAATGCAGGTACCTAAAGTGGTAACCTAGGAGTTTGGGCCTAAAGCCTTTTTGGGCCTTATTCCCTTACAACCTAATTATTACATATTTATTTATACCATAAATGGTAAACTATACTAATTAATAACAAGACATAAAGACAAACTTGATTCACAATTAAAATAGTCCTAACAAAAGGAGCCAAAAGAACTTTTGAAATGAACAAACTGGGAATTCCAACTGACCTCAGAAATGTTAAGATAAGCAAAATTCTAGAACACCCATATCTTATTTGTAGAAGAGTGCATAACATATGAAAAATCAAACTTCAACATGTGGTGCTGACCCTTACTTACATCAATCAAAATCTCAATAATAAAAAGTAATTGAATTCCCCATTTAGAGATAGGAGTATAAAGTCGTGGGCTGGATGCAACCAGATCTCTTATGTTCCAGACTAAATAATTGATTTAAGCAACCCATTAATGAGACATGTGCCTGCAGCCCGGGACAACTTCCAACCTGCCCTACCAACTTCAGTATTCAAGTGCCTAAGTAGCGGTTTTTGGGAAGTGCCATCGTATCCGGCTATTTAAGCACACACATTCCTTCAATAGAAAAACTTCTGCAAAATCTCCATCGCACAAGCTTATCATTTTCTTGGTTGGGAACCCTAGGTTACAAGAACCTTCTTCGTCGTCGTGACTTTTCTCATTGGGTCAGTTTCATATCTTCCTCTAGTTCTGTTCCCCTCCATAATGTCTTCCCTGATGACGGGGCCAGTTTAAATCGGCCCCGAATTCCAGTAGATTCTCATGGGGTTGAGACCCATTTCTACCTTTCTACTGACTTCGCCCGGGGGGTTCCGATCGCCACCCTTTCTGGTCTGAATTTAACGAGGCGGTGGCCCTTGCTGGTCCCAGTGTTATCTACTCCCGCCCCACCCCGGGTAAAAATATAGTGGAGCCCCCTTTGCCTTCCCATTTTGGGGTCACCTGGCGAGTCTGCAAGTTGGGCGACGATTCCCCCCTCCATCCTGCCCTTCTATAGATATCATGCGCCACTATGGTGCAATTCCGGGTCAGCTTTCCCCCACCACCCATTTGTTCATCGCCGGGTTCATTGGCGGTGTATTTCTTTGAAAATCAAACCCTACCTTGGCATATTCCTCAATATCTTTCACTTCGTAAGGTCCGTCATCTCTGATGCCCAGTGCTATTTCTCTATCTCCCATTGGGGCTGGTCACCGTCTGCGGCCAAATCTTACCCGGATTCTTTTACGGGTTGGAGGTATAAATGGGTTTGGGTCACCCCGGTAGATGGCAAGCTTCCGTTCAAGAATAAGTGGGGGGGAGCTGATTCAGAGGTGGGTGATGCCAACCTTGCCAGAAAAGAACGAGCTGGCCGCCAAGCTGATTCCTGAAGGCTCGTCCTTCCTAATGGGCCAATACGTAGGTGAGGATGGGGTGGTTATGCTTGAATTCAAATAAGGCCGACAATGTCTGATCGTGTAGTCGTCTTTATTTCCTTTTTTATTGATGCGTCAATTGGTTCTGATTGCTCTTTCTGTTTTGATTCAGAGGGTGGAAAGATGGCTTCTCGGCTGGAACGGCTCGTGGTGAAGGCGAGGTCCACCTCTGGTCCCATGGTTCCACTTAGAAAGATCCAAACTTGAGGCGCTATTGAGGCCACCTCAGAAAAGTCAGGGGGATCCGCCCCCAGAGATGCCCTGGCACCTCTCCATACCATCAAGCCACTATGCGCTCATGCTTTGCCTCCCTATTTCGTGGCACGGTGAACCATGTTTCTCTGGCCCTAGTTGTCACACCTCCTGCTGATGCGGAGGAAATCAAGGATCTGACTTGTAACACCCCGGCCCCACAGGACCCGGGGTAGTTACTCCGGACCTCTAGTACTGTCCCCACAAACCGCCACTAGCCTTTCCCGCGCACTTTGTCCTCACTCGTGCGCGCCCTGAGAAACTTCCCAGGGGGTGACCCATCCCAAGACTACTCCCGTGCAAGCACGCATAACTTTGGAGTTCTTAGCTAATGAGCTCCCTTAAAAGGAGATGCATCTTGTTGGTATGAGTAGTACTATTAATCCATTTATATTAAATCTCAAGTGTTACATGACTCCTCGGTCTGCTATATGGTGCGCCATTCACGCCATGTCTAAGGTACCATTTCCCTCAATCTTTATTATTATTGCTGTTGTTATGACTTCCACAACTCTTTGCCTTTTATGAAACAACTATCCCTCTTCAGACCTTCATGCTTGCTGCTTCCGGCTCCCGTCGTCTAAGGGGCCTGCTTGCAGACCTCAAGAAGACGCTGGCGGGCCTGGAGCGAAGGCTGACGACGGTGGAAATGGCCAGGGTGACAAATCTAATATATACTTTTAGCTCATCATTTAGAAATGGATGTGGTGAGTAGAATCTTATAGACCACTGGGAAAATTAAAACATGTAATACCCGTGTCATGTAGGATGATGATCATATTTTGCTTCATCGATTCATTCATCTCTTCCCTAAGCTGGTATCTTAATGAACTTTTGAGAGACTTGATATCTTCATATGAGCATCCACTGTATTGTGATCCATTTGATTTGTGGCCCAATGTCTCTGTATATCCAACATTTACCCACCGAAGCCACAAGCACGGCCATGGTGGTCCTTTTCTCCATGTGCGTAGTACAAAGCATCCTTGTTCCATTGAGGAACAAATTTACGGGGGTTTTGTTTATTCTTATACTCGACCTGTTACAATATATATGCGTGCGTCTGTATGTGTCAAAAAAATAAGAGAATAGAATTAATCATAAGTTCATAACTAATTAAAGAAAAAAATATGTATTTATTATTACATATTTCATATTCTTATACTCGACCTGTTACAGTATATATGCGTGCGTGTGGATGTGTCAAAAAAAATGGGATGGAGGGAATATAATTTTTATTGGGTAATAATTCTTCCTAATCCATTCTAAACTGATGCAAATTGAAACTGATAAAAATAAAAAACTCATATGGCCATCCTAGCGCTAAGCCTCTAATCACATTAGGAACGTTTACTTATAATCTAACTGTTCGGTAAAATTGATCAAAATTGTAATTTTTCCATCTTCATTGCAAGAACAAAAAAAGCACAAAGAAAAGAGAAGGGAAAGAGGCCAGAGGCACTGCACTGTTGATCTTTGGACATTCTGATCACTACATTTCCAAGGAAGCCATGGCTGAACCTCCACCGCCGTCGACGCCAGTCTCCACCATTGCCTCATCCCCGCCAAGTTACATTCACCCGCGGCGGGAGCCCTTTGAGCACGGCCTTCTCCCAATACCCAAGCTGATCTTCACAGACGGCACTCAAACCCTAGGCCCGATCAAGGATAAGCTGCTATCCCTATCTGCAGAAACAGCGTACCGTGTCAACTCCCAATCCATTGCCGAAACTCTTCAGATCTCACCTGATCACGCGCGCCTTGTTCTTGAGACAATTGCTGCGGTCCTACACAACGAATCTGACCCACTTGTTTCTGCAAATCCATCTGAGATTGATTCCGTTGGCGTAAGCGTATTCGATTTGGTGGTGTTTCTCTACATTCAGAGTTATAAGAGGTTGCTTCCCAAGGGGCATAAGGACTCCGCTGCAGTGGCTGATGTTTGGCCCTCCACTTCAGCATTCGATGGTTTCTTATCTGCTCTGTCGCCACTCCAAGTAAGAAGTTTAGCATCCTTTATTTCTTTTTGAAATGACCGTTGCTTATTTCTTTGATATATACAATAGCGGGTTTGTGTTTTTTTTTTAATGCCGCTCCTGTTTATTCCTGAGAGTGGTGCTTGCCTTGCTTGCAAACCTATGGATTTTATATTGTGATCCTTCAGTGTTCACTTAAAACAATGTTTTTTATCAGGCAATACTTAATGCAGCTTACTCAATTTTTTGGGTTGACTGACGATGTCATATCTTGAACTGGACTGATTATGAGAGTTGAATGAAATTTTCTACTTTACCTGGGTACCACTCCTCTCACTCCCACAAGAAATAATCTTTTTCAATTTTCTTGAAGTTGCAGATGACAATCACCAAATTTGTTAAAGAATGTTTTTATCCAAGTGCTGGTGCTTTTAGCTAATCTTTATATTGCTGCATGAATATTTAACAGAATCCTTAGCTATATGAGCTTATCATTTATTGAACTTAACATCCTTAGCTCCTAACACACTTGTAATTACATGGTATTTTCACATAAAGACTTAACATGATCTTTACTTTCATTACTGCAGCTAGTACGCAGCAATAGTCGTAGGTTCATGCCATCACAATCCGATGAAGAGGCTCATCAGTTATCCTATTTACAGAAGCACTTGGGCAACATTCTCTCTCTTTTGGTAGACTCAGTTGAAGGAGAGGCTGAAGAATCACTGGTTTGTGAATTGCTTACTGTATTGATGTTGGGGCGTGCAATTTACTTGTACAATTTAGGGATAAAATTGATCTATTTGCTACTAGCTCCACTTTATAGACGATAAGTTTTGAAGGATTTCTTTGATACTTAGGCTAACCGCAACCCAGTTCCATCAATAAATCAAATTTCCCACTAATTTATACGTATTCACTCCATCATTTCAGTTTTTCGTGCACTCCAGCACCGTTAATATATTCACTCAAAAACGTTTTTTGGTTAAAACCTTATTTTTATTATCATACAACCTTTTTCCAAATTTATTTTTGCGAATAATTATGCTGTAAAAAGTTAAATATTCCGATGTAAAAATACATTAATTTGAGGTTTAATTTTGTTGTTGTTATTTCAGTCCTTATTTTTGCACATGAACCTATTTAAAAGAAATTAAGATTGAAAACATGTAGCATTTAAATTTTCACACACACACACACACACACATATATATATATAAATATATATATTAATTTTATATACATATTGATGTCATATGAAAGCTCATAAAAAATTATGAATTTTGATATATTTTTCATTAAAATTAGAATTCAAATAGAAAAGTTATAATACATTTACAAGAAGACTTTTTTCGCATGGGTGCCATACTCTCTCATTGGGAAAACTGTCAAATAGGTCCTCGAACTTTCATAAAAAGGTCAATTAAGTCCTTCTATAGGAGGTTCTGTCCGGCCGTCGCGATTTGGGGTAGTTCCCGGTGGAATTTTTTGATGAACTTTTTTGAGAATCTTATTCACCAAGTCTAGTTTACTCATACCAAATTTTAGCTAAAAATTCAATCGGGAACACATTCAAATTAATTCTTGAAGATAACTGCGCATCTTTGCGTTCTCGAATTAATTTGAATGCGCTCCCGATTAAATTTTTAACTGAAATTTAGTATGAATAAACTAGACTTGATGAATAAGATGCTCAAAAAAATGCGGTTAGCCTTAGTATGGGGAGTTGTGAAATTTGTGATGTTCATCGGTTACCATTGATGCTTGCGGCCATACATATTGTGTGACCTGTTGTGCTGACATGTGTTGAATTGATATGATACAAACTATTACAGGTTTTGTCTATGGAGAAATTTGAGCATCTTGGGTATCTAATCTATTTTGGAGATAAGGGACTTGAACGGATTCCATTGAGTCAAAGTGCTCCCTTTTTTGCAAATTCTGATCCAGACATGCCCGCTGTTCCTGTTCCTGCAGCCCAAGTTCATGAGTGGCTTTTACAAAACATTGCTTCTGCTTTGGAACATATTGCTGAGAGAGCTTCTGCCAAGGAAAATGGGCCTTCCAATTTCTCTGATCAGGATATTCAAATGACTGATGTCTCTACAAGTCCAGCAAAGACCACATCTGGTCCCCGGGGTCCTAGTATTATTGAGGGGATCTCAAAATCATCTTATGTAAGGCAGGCAAATGATCTTAAAGTCTCTTCTGTAAAAGTAAGTTCTCAAGTTTTATACTTAGGAATGGTTAATATTACTTAATACCCTTATTGCACTAATTAAAAGAGCGTTTTCTCTTAGAGACCATTACTATCTTGGTCTGATAGCAAATGCACTTGTTATATCTCACACCTGTTCAACCAATATACTTAATGACTGAGTAATTTTAAAAGGGTGAAATGTCCACCACTATCTTGGAAGCGATTCCCAAAAAAACAAAAAACTTTGGGAACCAAGAGGAGCGCAGCTTCTATGTGGGTCTAGATGTGGACTTCAGGAAAAAGCCTGGAAGTTAGTTCTGGTTGAAATCAACCTCTTAGCAATTATTGTTTAATGCAATACCAAATCTAAGATGATGAATCCCGCTTTCATCATATTAGCGTAATACTATTAATAAGCCTTTGCACCTATTTCTAATATGATGAGTGCCACTGATTGAGTCAAAACTAATGATGATGTGGCCCATCATCTTTGTAGTTGGGCCCTAGTTTTTTTACTTTTTCTTTTGGAATTTCTGACATCATTTCAATAGGATTTGATAATTTGATTCTCTACTTGGTTACATATTGCATCTTTGGAATTAACTGTACTTTCTCCTTTCCGTTTCCTTTCTCGTTATAGGTTGTGAACTGCCATGAATCAGTCATTTATATACTGGCTCCATTGAGATATGCAACAATCTATGGATGTTCTGATGCAACAATTGTCCTCGGAGCTGTTGGCAAGGTAGTTATTAAGAATTTGGGGTGTCTTTCAAGCCATCAATGTATTTTATTTGTGTACTCTTTACGAGTCAATTATGGTGGTGAAATTGTTATTCATTAGAAATCATCAAAAGGTGCAAGTTAGAAAAATATTACTTGTATGCCTACAGCCTACTTAAAGGCTTGTCAGGATGCTTGAAAGCCAATCATGCACTAATGCACATCACTTCAGGATTAACGTTTCTGTGATAAATGATGGGCTAATATGTCGAATACCTTATTTTGTGAATGACTTTTAGATCTTCCTTTGTCAAGTTGATGTCCTCAATAATAGTACAATACCTTTTTCAGGCAGTCAGAGTTGAACATTGTGAACGAGTACACGTGATTGTGGCAGCTAAACGCATCTGTATTGTCAATTGTCGTGAATGTGTGTTCTTTTTAGGAGTAAATCAACAACCACTTATTGTTGGTGATAACCATAAATTACAGGTTTGCCAATTTTTTTTTTGTACCTTAAGTCGTAAAGCATCACTAAAAGCACGTGTCCTTTTAAGATTTCCTTTTAACGATGTCTAATGAGTGATAGTAAAATGTAATAGCCAGTGGTTAGGCCGCTCTCTATTATAGTGATATGCACATATGACATCATATCAATTTGTCAAGAATGCGACATCATTAAAAAACAAATGTGTTTGTGTGACATCATGAATCTCACTTTGCCCCATCCCCATATCAGTTGAGAAATGCAATTATTATTAAAGCTTATGTGTTTGGTTAGGAAATTAGTTAAGCTTATAGGAAAATAAAAATAAAGAGTAAAAGATATCAGTGCACATGGGGTTATATAATGATTCCAGATTATTCCCACATCACATTTTTAAGTTGATGTTGTCAGAATAAGATTTCCAGTCTGATGACTCTGATACCTGTTTTATCCATTGCTTTAAGATGCGTTTGTGAGACTCACCTCAAGTTGAGGCACCTTTATTACAGTGCAAGGCTTACACCTGTAATGAGTGAGTTGTGATAGACTCATAAGCCTTATGATTTTTATTATTTTGGTCTTATTGATTCTATTATTCATTAGGACGTAATTGGCCTTTGATTTTTTAAAGAATATAATTGCTTAAGCACATACAGCCTCAAGGCTTCATTCTGAAGACGTGTGACTCTTCTTCCCCCAAACATCACACCACTCCTCTCATGTCGGTTTAAGACTTGGGAGTCATTTGTTAATTGTTTGTCCTTTAGACTCTATTTTCTGAAGGAGTCATTTCTTCTCCTTTTTTCCTGTTCTATCCTTCTTTGAAGGGGAGCCTTGGCACACCGATTACGGTGTTGCTGTGTGACAAGAGGTTCACGAGTTCGAGTCCTGGGAGCGGCCTTTTTTCAAAATGACATGAGAAGGCTTGCCCCCCTATAGACCCTTGTGGTGGGACCCTTGAGCCTCGCTTTGCGGGGATGCTGATGTGCATCGGGCTACCCCTTTATCTTTCTTTGATTTTGAATCTTGTAGTATCTTCTTCTCCTTCAAATCTCTGTTTTGTTCTTTTTTTACGTTTAATGAACTTAGTCTTTAATCTTAAACTTCACTGTTCAGCAAAGTAAAAATTAGAATTGGAAACATAATAAAGATGCAGTTGTATGAACTGCAAATAATCAAAACTACATGACTCAACTTAAATATTTGGACAGCGGTTTTATTATATGTGTTCAACTGTGAGAATGTTTTTTTAAACTTGTTCTGAAATGTTTTTTGTGGCTTCAGAGTATCTACTTTACGACTTGCTATGTGAAATGCTGTGGTTAATTTCATTGCCCCTCTTGTCTTTCTTGCTGGTCTTGTCTATCTGATTGAACTGCCAGGTGGCTCCGTTCAACACAGTTTACTCACAGTTAGAAGAGCACATGAAACAAGTTGGTATCTACCCTACCATTAACAAATGGGATGAACCTGTGGCACTTGGAGTGGTTGACCCACATGACTCGCTATCACATCCTGCTGGCGTCTCGGATGTTCAGACTGAGTCCGCTAACCGTTTAGACCCTGATCAATTCACTGACTTTTTGGTAGGTCCCTTTTATTTTTAGTGGGCTAACCTGAAGTATTCTTAACTTACTTATCATTCCCATGCTGAGTTTTGTTTATTTTAACAAATACTTTGAACATCCCTTTTGCTCGTGTACCTATAATTTGTGTTGTATTGAATTTAACTTCTTATGTTTTAAGCTGTTATTTTTATTTTGCTATTCATCTTAGCTTGTTACCTTTCTCATTATTCTTTTCCTGTTCCGATACAATTTATTTTTCACAGATTCCTAATTGGTTTGAAGCCCAACAATCTGGTCCGACAAAAGACAACCCCTTTCCTTTACCAGATGCTTATATGGCTTCTCAGCAGAAAAATGTATGTGCATGCCTAATATTTCTTTCTGTAGCGGTGTAGCCTATGAACTTCTATCCCATATAAAGTGCTTCCTTTTAGTTCTTTGTTCAATTGTTTCAGTTAAACTATTGAAACTGTCAGTTTTTGTTCAATAGTTTCAGCAGAAGTATTTGTTAATTCATTAAACTGTTTTTATTCTTATTGGATATTCAGCAAAAGAATCTTAGTGAGGTTAAGCAAATTTTGAGGGAAACTGAGCTTGAAGACGGCCGGAAACGGGAATTGTCTAGTTCTCTTCATGTGCTGTTTAAGGAATGGTTATATGGTAATGGTGTTGCATCCACAGTGTGTTGTTTTTTCATTGTTTCATTACATGGCATATGAGTAGCATGCACTTTTTGGACTTCGTTTTTATATGACTTGTATCTTTTTATTGATTCCCTTTTAAAAATAAATGAAGTTTTTTCCATCACATTAATTTAAAATATGAGTTCAGAAGAGGAAAAAAATTTACTCTTCTGAACTATTTTGCTTTCATGATCTTGCAACTGAAAGTTGCTTTTTGTTGGAACTGAGAGCTATTTTTCTATCTATAAATGTATATTGATTATTGATAGTATAATTATTATTATGATAGTTCTATCAGATCATATCTATGAACTCTTACAAATCTCGGTGGCCATGTATTTATAATATGGAATGTGTCCTTGAGTGTCCTCCTTATCACCTTTGTTAGATGTATCTGTTTAAATGTAAATGCTTGCTAGACAATTTAATGAGTTATTAATGCATACTGCAAATTTGCTTTAAGTGAGTCCTTTCTTTTGATCCGACCTTGAATGATATGTAATGTAAATAATTTCTGAATAAGAGGTAGTGGTTTCTTTGTTCATTCTTTGATGTTATTCAACTGTATTTGTCTTTTTCACAACCCATAGTTAATATGCCCTCTCTTGTAGCTAAAGTATTGACATTCGGTTGTTATAGGCTCTTTAGGGTTTTGGAGGTGAGGGTTTTTTGGGGAGTGTTTTATATCTTGGTATAAAGAAGACCTCCAACACCTTTCCTTCAAAACACTCCATCCAAATAGACCCTTTAAGGGCCTCTTTGAATGGCGGGGCTTGGAGTGGAATGTTTTGGTCTTTTGGAGGTCTTAGCACTGTCATGAACGGAATATTTTAAAACAAATAAAGGATAGTTGTGAAAGGCATACATTTACATATAAGCCAAACCTTTCAATCCTCTTTTAAATCTCAAATATCTATCAAGATATAGACTTAGCCCCGAACCTGCCCTTCCATAACCTTCCTTGCCTTGAACTCCTGCATCTTTGTTTGAAATACATGAATATTTTATTTTATACTCGTCTGATTGTTTTTTTTGGTTTGTTTCCATTAAATATAACAGCCTCAGGGAATGTGAGGCAACTGTACTGCTTACAAGGAGAATAGACTTACTTGATAATACGGGAATTTTGGAAAGAAGGCTTGTGGGGCCGTTAGCACTTTCAGCACACTCACCATCTTTGAGCACCACTCCCCTGCAAGGCATTGCAACAAAGGTTTTGAAATTATCGAGCCATGCATCTGCCACTGACTTCTTGCTATGGTTTTTTCGAAAGTAGTAGTAAAAGTGTTCTGAATGTTATTTTTGATAGTTTTGAACTGATACTCATCCAAGCATTAGATTTGTCAAATACATGTCTCATCGGTGAGAAGCTAAGGCAACGCAAGGCAAGCAGAAGTGCTTAAGTGGTTTTGTCATCCACTAAGTAAAAAGATCTTGTTGTATCATTTGTAGTTCCGTTTGGCCATTGTTGTTGCTGCTAATGCTTGGCTTTCTCAATGTTTTCAATGTTAAAGCTTGTGCAATTTCCTTGTATCTAATAAATTTCAACTTGATGTTCCATTAGCTATGAATTAATGGTCAGATAGCCTTTGCCCGTAGTCCTCTACGCCTTTACATCTGAAAACAACTCTATCTTGCTCATTTACAGTTGGATGTAAACATATTGGTTTATACTCTATTGCAAGTTAGCAACCACATAGACTCGTAGAGCAAGATAACACAAACCATCTAACGAGCCAAAATGACATAGAACATACTCCCTCCGTCCCTTATAACTTTGCCAACTTTCCATTTTTGGATGTCCCAATAACTTTGCCACTTTCCCATTTAAGTAAAGAATTTGTGGTTCCAGTTAATTCTCTCTCTTCTACACAAACCTCAACCACACAGTTTTTACTTTATTAATTCCTGTGCCGGTCAAACTTGGCAAAGTTATTAGGGACGGAGGGAGTATAACCATATTAATTAGAAATACATTTTCTAGTCTGATTTGTTTAAGTCTATTTTAGTCTGTTAAAATCTAGTTTGATCAGTTTTGGTTTGAGACTATGTAACATCTCTTAAAAGTAAGCCTTGGAAATTACTTCCTTCGTTCTTTAATTCTTGCAACATTGTGATTTTTCACTATTCACATACTTTACTTTGACCACGATTTTCTACTAACATACATAACAAATTATTACGTATAAAATGTTATTGAATTCCTTATCATCATCATTTTCATTTACCCAGTGCCGCAAAGGCTCCCACCTAGGTGGGGTAAAGGGGGGTCAGATGTACGCAGTCTTACTCCTATACTAAAGCATAGAGAGACTGTTTTCGGATGACTCATAGTGAAAATCGCGTCCAAAATTGCATGGAGTGACTGCTGCTTCATAACAAAGAAGCGCAGACAGTTTAATGTGAATTTCCAAAATATCAACATTTTATAATGTTTACTAATACATGATTAAATATAATTACAGTCAAAATTATGTGTTGGCAAACGTGAAAGTCAATTGCAAGAATTAAAGAAAAACCACCATTTCTCAATAAGTGCTTCTTGACTTGCGGGAAAAAGGATCGTCACTCTGGTCATGGCAGTTTCCTACATGTTATTACTTTCCTTAAACACTCCATCTATTATGGTCCATTAAGGGTGTGTAAACTGCTAATTGTAAAATGTAGAAATTTGGTAATAATAGAATGTGAAAATGTAAAGAAATTAAGAAAAATAAACACTTTTTCTTACTCAATTTTTAAAAAGCATTAATCATACGGAGTATTACATTTGCTTAGCACTTCCGAGGAAGAACCAAACATAAAATAACTTTCCTTGGCATTTTCTTTCCTTCCCAACCGCTCTGTGGCTCCAAACATACTCTTGGAGAGATGGAGTTGAGAAATATCATTAGTTTAGGGCAAAGTATCATTTATTGCTACTGCAGTCTGCAGATTTGCAGGCATACAAGAAATGCATGTTCTTTCCTGTTACCAACTTACAATAATATCACACGTGCATCCTTAAGCAGATTAAAAAACAGGAGGTTAGCTGGTTAGGTAGATCCTAAACTCCTACCCACTTGGGTAGTAGTGTCTACCATGACCATGCTTGCAATGTCACAGGCAAGACCAGACAGCCCGTTCTCATGGTCCAGTAGCCACTCCAATCGTATGCAACTCTATTCTTCTGCTGAAGGAGGGTATTATCTACAGTAACATTTTTTATTATTTTTTTGTAATATAAAACAGGAAAACATGGTAGTACAGTGTTACACCACCGGCCATGAATGATGATAAAGTAGAAGACACGGACATCAGCAAGTCTTGGAAAACAAAACTGCACGCTCCCCACTATTTTGTCCCCGAAGCAAGCAATTAGATAGAAAAACTCAATCATTCAGCAGCAGCAGCATGAGCATGTCCCGGTTTGGGCTGGGTGGTGTAAGGGTAATACTCCTTGCCATTGTCAACCCTTGTGGTTTGACCTCCCACGTCAATTACAGCAGAGGTCACTGCAAGTGCTGCTCCAGCTGAGATTGCTGTCGCGATACTCTTCCCTGACCACATTCAATGTACATATATTTATGCAGCAACGGATGTCTTGTTCGTGAAACAACAAATTTACAAATTTTCCAGTATATCCAAAATGTACTGAACACCAATTCAGTTATCATTCTCACATCCGAACAATAAAATACTAGAGGCAAAGTAGGGATTCTATCCTTAATCAGCCAGATTTTCTATCAAACTCTTACTTCATCATATGTTGACAGAATGGGCTGGGAATGCGAAAAGAGAAAAATAGAAATGACAAAACGAAACTATTGAAGCGGAAAGAAATGAACTCACAGTTCTACACTTCTACCCTTATGTAAGATTCAACTCGAGAAAAGTTCAAATTCCACATGAACTATTTGCATTTACGAGCTATGTCCCAAAATGAGTCGTAGTTCACCAAAGTGAAATAGTTCAGTTTTAATAGGGAACCCAGTCAAACAACTATTGGAAAGTATGTATTTTAGTTAAACAATTAAATTTTTATGTTGGTTTAACTATGGTTAACATACTTAACTTGTTTGGGAACAATTTGAACTGCATTTAACATGTTTAAGAAATTTAACTCCAATGAAATATTGCACTATATTCAATGAAACTTAGATTCTTTTGTTGACCTATGACAGACAAAAACTGTTCTGGTGCATGACACTTTTTGGACGGATTGGAGCTATTTTATTAATACAATTCATGTTAGCTGACCCCAAAATCTTTTAGGAACAAGGTTTGGATGTTGTTGTTGTATATGACTAACCACATTCTGCCATATCGAAACCAGTACAATTTCAGCCAATTCAACAACTTAAGCCAAAATTTATCCTCACCAAACAGGTCCAAAAAAGCAATATGGCTTAGGTGAGTAGGAGACAAAATCAAACCTTTATAGCCAAACACGGAAGCGCCAGCTGCAAATCCACCAACAGCACCATTTATGAAGTCTCTCTTCGCACGATAATTCTGCATCAACTGCTCGACACCTATATATAATCCACCTACAGCAGCAAATGTCACCCCATGATTTCCCATCATCTTCAGCGTACGCACCAAACCAGGGAGTGCAACACTTCTCTCCACACGTGGTACGTCATACCATGTTGCAACTATAGTGCCCCAAATGGTTCCAGCAGCCAGACCAGCGGTTGCACCTTTTACTGTTTTCATCACCGGAGTGTCCTCATCCTCGTAGTATCTCAGCTCTGCGCCTTTGGGGTCCATACCTTGAGAAGAAACCAGTCACATGTATGCTGGTTAAGGAAAGGAATCAACATATACTGACTAGTATACTGATTTACATATATCCCCAAAAGCATTGCATTAAAAACTACATAGTATTAAGTAGTACTCCCTCCGTCCCAATTTGTAAGATACATTACGGTTTACGATGTTTGACTGACGATAAAGCAAATTGATCCCTGTCAACACTCAAATTATTTTTAGAAAATAAAATTTACATATTCAGAAACTACATTAAAACTGCTACAAAACCTGCAAAAAATAATTCAAATTTCATAAACTTTTGATATATAAAATAAAAGATTAAAAGTGATTTGTGTTGACCAAGTGAATAGTAAATGTATCATACAATTTGGGACTGAGGGAGTATTAAATAAACACAGTTCAAAACTAATTTTCTTTTGTTTTACAAACAATTCAAGTGAATTAAACAATCCATAAGGCAACAGCCACATAAACAAAATTAGTCTCTACAGCAAACAGCTTATAGGTTGAGGCCCGTCTAATAGGTTTTATAGGCTCGTTCTCTTAGTACTACTTGTCAGCATAGTAAGTAGCATAATTGGCTGAAATAGATTTTACCAGTTGCTATTCCTTTCGAAAGCTATTATCCATAGATAACCCTTACCAAACCGGCCCTAAATCTCAAATTAAGGGTGTCAATTACATGAAAAACGGAAAAATCTCAGGGGTCATCCAAACAAGTAATCTCATCTTCCATTCGTAATTGTATCAAAGGCATTCAGCATCATATATGTTCATGAAGTCTCCATACCCTAATGTCCCCTTTTACACATTCCATGAATCCATGACATTCTCTCTGTCTCTCACTCACTCGTTCTATATAGATCTCCAGAGGCCAGTGACCTGTTATTCCACTCTGTATATGAACGCCTACGTCTCGATGTGATTATATTCCAACTTTAGAAGCTGATATTCCTGAATTCGAGTAGATCTCTCCATTTCATACTCTTATAGGAGAATATACTAGTATTACTGAACAATAGATATTAGCATAGACATAGTGTTTTAGAAGTGAAAATTCGACCATAGATCTAAAAATTCGTCAATGAAAAGAACATTCAGTACTTCTGTTTAAGTAGAAACAGCGAAGACTGTAGTGTAGAAGATGAAATACCTGGGTGGATATATGGAAGAACGACAAATCGTCGAATAGGAAGGCGGGGCAGTGCCGAAGGATAAGCTTCTGGAAATTTTATGAGGTGCAGCGTAGAAAGAAATAGAAATATAGAATTGGGCTCGAGTCCAAATGTTAAATTAGGCCTGATATCTTAATGACCCAATTCTTTTTATAGTTCTATTCAATTTTTTATGGCTTATTCAGCTTATTTAATCATTTCAAGATAAACGCATCGCATAATATTGACATATTAGAAATGTTGATGACTCAATTACTCAAACCATAGTGAATGAATTTGAAAAATAGAACTAACATTTTATGAATATTAGTTACATTTGGCAAAACTCAATGTATGTCAACACTATTGGGCCATTGGCTTGCAAAATAATGATTCACAAAACACTATTCAATTTTGATAATTTTTAAAATATGTTTATCTAACTTTTGTGCATTCAATTTATATTTTTTTTATTTTTTAATAGCTTACTTTTCAAGTATTTGAGTTAATCACTGACCTCCACTAACTCAGATGTTCTATTCTCGATCATGGTAAAGTATACTCACAGATAAATTTAACGTTGTGCATTAAATTAATTTTGTGCCAAGTTTGGTACATCAAGTCATAGCCTTTCCTCAAGCCCAGGTTTAATCGGGAGCACCACTCACATCAAGATTGAGTAGCATAGTTAATGCAACCACTCCAAAACTCCATACGGAGTTTGAGATCATATCCTTTACTCTCTCACCTCTTTTTTTAGAAGGTAAATTGATGCCTTTAACACTATTTCTAGTTGTTAGAAAGGTGCACTACTTTTTCTTAAGAGCCAGTATGGTTGGGGGATTTTGAAAGGAGGGAATGGGAGGGTTCTTATTTAAATTTAAAATAATTTTTGCATTTAGACAAATTAAAATAAAATGAGGATACAATACTATATAAAAATACATGGTTTAGCTAATTATATATTTATTTGTAGTAAAAAAAACTAACAAATTCAGACAAATTAATAAAGTAAAAAATTAAGCCTTCCCTTCCCTCCCCTCCAAAATCCCCCAACCACACCGGGGGTAATAGTTTGAGGAAGAAAGGAGTATTAGTTTGAATAGTACGGAGTATATGATTCTCGAATCTCGATTGCTGGTATCCACATTGGAAAAATAATTTGATATGATTTGTTTCTAAAATGTGTACTATAATAATATAATTACGCATGAGGCATGCCAAAAAGTATACGCAATAATTAGCTTAGTATGAACCCGGTTGTTTACCTATAACTGTTAGGAGGCGTTTACTTCGCTGCTAAAGTCACAGTTAGGTTAGTAAGACAGGTGAAGTAAACACGCACGCTGCTTAAAAAGCCGCTTACTAACCAAAATAGGTGCTTAAAGTGCCGCTTACTAAGCATACCACCCCATGTATTAGTGGTGGGGCCCAGGTAACGTAGCTAGGGTAGGGTAGGAGTATGGTAGATTAGGGTGGGGTCGGGTGGGGTTGATGTGGTAGGGGTAGGGGTAGGGTGGTAAGGGAATATAGGGTGGGGTCAGGGTAAGGGGGTATGGGTACACATAATACTTTTGTTCATGAATGTTTGTGTGTCTATATATATATAGGGTTATTTTGGACATTTTAATGCTAAACGATGTTTTACACCTTTTGAAGTAAACATGATCTTACTGTAAAATGATGAGAATAATGATTTTGATATATCATTCTCGTATGGAGTATACAGTATATATACTTTGTACAATTGAGAGTGCTAGAAAATATCAACTACCTAGAAGATAAGATTTACACCTCTATTGTAGATAAATACAAGAGATAATTAATTAATATAATAATCATTATGAATTATCTCTATCATGCCCCCGCAAGTTGGAGGATCTGGGAAGAACTCCAATCTTGGAATGTAGGCTGTGAAAACGGCGTCGAGGTAGTGGTTTCGTAAGAGAATCTGCTAATTGATCTTCAGAGCGGACATGAGCAACCCGAAGAATACCATTTTGAACATGTTCACGAATAAAATGATAGTCCAGTGCTAGGTGCTTCATGCGAGAATGGAAGACAGGATTTGCACACAGATGGGTAGCCCCAACATTATCACAATAAATCACCGGTTGAGTGGGAATATGAACACGCATTTCAGTGAGAAGGGAGAGAATCCAGCGTAGTTCGGCAGCAGTAGTAGCTACAGAACGATATTCTGCTTCAGTGGAAGAACGAGCAACCGTTCTTTGTTTGCGAGAGCTCCAAGAGATAGCATTGGGCCCAAGAAAAATAACAAAAGCACCTGTAGATGTATAGTCATCGGGATTGCCTGCCCAATCAGCATCGGAGTATGCATGGAGAGATAAAGACGGAGACCGGCGGAGGAGAAGACCATGGTCACTAGTGTGGCGGAGGTAGCGAAGAACACGTTTTGTAGCTTCCCAGTGCTCATCTGTGGGCTTATGCAAAAATTGTGATAATTTATTTACCGCATAAGAGAGATCCGGACGAGTAAGCGCTAAATATTGAAGACTGCCGACAATGGACCGATAGTTTTCTGGGTCCGCAAGAGGCTTCCCAGAAGTAAGACGCAGTTTTGAAGTTGGAGCAAGGGGTGTGGTAACCCCGTTGCAATTTGACATTTTAGCACGAGCAAGAAGATCGAGAATATAGCGTTGTTGAGATAGGATGATTCCATGAGAGTGAGGAAGCACCTCTATGCCAAGAAAAAATGAGAGTGAGCCCAGATCCTTTAATGAAAAACGGCGGCCAAGTTGAGTAATCAGTTTTTCAATATAGATAGTGGAACTCCCAGTAATCACTATGTCATCGACATAAACGAGCATATATATAATGTGTGTAGCTTGATGATAGATGAATAAGGAAGTATCAGCTTTAGAGTTGGTGAAACCAAGTTGAAGAAGAAAACTCTTGAGTTCTTGGTACCATGCCCGGGGTGCTTGCTTGAGTCCATATATGGCCTTATTTAAGCGACATATATGAGAAGGTTTGGAAGAGTCCACGAAACCAGGAGGTTGAAGCATATACACCTCATCATATAATTGGCCCTGCAAAAAAGCATTATTAACATCTACCTGCCGTAGGGGCCATCCTCGACTAACGGCAAGAGAGAGAACCAGGCGAATAGTTGTGGGTTTAATAACAGGACTAAACGTTTCATTATAATCCACTCCAGGACGTTGATGAAATCCTTTTGCGACAAGGCGTGCCTTGTACCTGTCAATAGCACCATTAGACAATCGTTTAGTCCGAAACACCCATTTACAACCCACAATATTTTCCTTGCCCGTGCGAGGAACTAGTGTCCAAGTACCATTTCGAATAAGAGCATTGAACTCCTCGGACATGGCGTGACGCCAGTTGGAATCAGATAAAGCTTCCTTTACGGTACGAGGTTCTGGTGACACGGAGGAAATTTGAGTGTTAAGGTTGAGCTTACGAACAGGACAATGAATATTATTCATTGACCGGGTGACTCTGCGATTAATAGGATGTAGTGGTATTTTAGTAGGTGACGAAGAGATATCGGGAGGTGAATTGTGCGTAGTAGATTGCATGGGTGGTAAATTGTGCGTGGAAGAGTTTTGCATGGGTGGATTATGATGCATGGGTGGATTATGATGCATGGGTGGATTATCATGTATGTAGGAGACATGATGAGGTGAGTTGACCAAGATAGTGGGAGAGGAAAGAGGTGGGGAGTGGGGAGGATTGATATCTGACGTGGTGGAGAAATTTTTTGTGGGAGGAGAGATATGAAGTGGGGAGTTTGTTGGATAGTTTGGTGAGGCAGTGGAGTGCGGGGTTGAAGTAGAATTTGTAGGGATAAATATTGAATTATCCGGTACATTATTTGAATTAGAGGGTTGACCGGCTATTAAAGGGGAGTCATTATTAGGAGAACTTTGAGGAGGACGTTGGAGGAGAGAATTTTTTAAGGGAGTAAGGTTATTCGGTGAACGGGTAGGAGGGAGAAAAATATGGGGATACTCCGAAGTATTTGTGCTGGGAGAGGACGGGATAATATTTGAGGAGGAGGAATTGTGATGTTTATATGGAAAAATATGTTCGACAAATGTGACATGGCGTGAAACATAAATGCGATTTGTAGTGGGGTCTTGACATAGATATGCACTTTGTGTGAGGGAATATCCAAGAAAAATACAAGGAACAGACCTAGGTTGAAGTTTGTGTTGGGTATAAGGTCGTATCCATGGGTAGCACAAACAACCAAAGACCCGGAGTTTGTCATAATTCGGAAGAGTATGATAGATACATTCATAGGGAGAGTGGAGATTTAGTGTAGGGGTAGGTAACCGGTTAATAAGATAAACGGCTGTAGGAAGTGCATATGACCAATATTCCGGGGGTAGCGAGGCCTGGTGTAAAAGAGTGAGACCAGTTTCAATAATGTGACGGTGACGTCGTTCAGCATAGCCGTTATGTTCAGGGGTGTGAGGGGGAGAGGTTAGGTGAGTTATGCCATTTTTAGCTAGGTGAGGGGTTAAGGCTTTAAATTCTCCACCATTGTCAGAAAAGAAAGTTTTGATTTTGTAGCTAAATTTATTTTCAGCTAGTGGGTAAAAGGAGAGAAATATAGAACAGACATCTGATTTATGTTTCATTGGATAGAACCATATGTATTTAGTGAAATGGTCAATAAATATTACATAATATTTAAAACCATCAAAGGAGACTACGGGTGACGTCCAAACATCAGAGAATATAATTTCTAATGGATGAGATGATTTTATTGAGGATGTATGAAATGGAAGTTTATGACTTTTATTACATTGACAAGAATCACAATTAAAAACGGAAGCTGGTACATGATTTATTGATAATTGAGACTTAGACAAAATATGATTAAAAATGACTGAGGATGGGTGACCAAGACGAGAGTGCCACTGATGAGGAGACACTGTCACACTGGAGAAGGCACGAATGGAGCAGGTGGAAGAGATAGGCCATTCATATAGACCATCTTTAGCTGGACCCTGTAGGAGTGGTGCCCCCGTGGTGAGATCCTTAACACAAAAAGAAGACGGTGAAAATTCAACAGAGACATTATTATTTAGACAAAATTGAGACACAGAAATTAAATTTTTTTGAATATTGGGAACACATAAAAGATTATTGAGAGTAAAGGAACTAGTGGGAGACATTAACGTTGCTTATTTTATGCGCTGCTTATTAACGCGGGTCTTAGTAAGCACCATTTAGTAACCCGTGAAGAAAACATATCCTTAAAGTTATTTAGACGGATGTGTAGTATTTGAAATCATTGATAGCAGAAGATTATGTGTTAATATGACACTCATTTTGCTTAAACCAACGTATAGTATAGTACACTGCAGGCTTTAGAAGAAAAAAACATTCCATGTCCTCTATCATTATGTACTGTAGGCATTGGTGCATCAAAAGACATCTCATGTACAAAACAAAATGGTAGTGTAAGACTGTACAATATATGGTATGTGCGAGTAGGGATTCAGATGGAGTAATAACTTTGTGTTGGAGAGGAAACGAAGTGGGTGCTGGTCGAACGAAATGAGCGGTCAAAGGGATCTGTGGCCACTTTTCCTCTCACAGCTGATGATGATTTCTGCACTACACACATCAATGCCTCCACCACTTCACTCATAGGCGCCCTAAACTCCTCAGCCTGCTTAGTTTATTGTCAACATATGCGTTATTGTGCATGCCCAACCAACCAGTCATATGTTGAGGTACAACTCTAAGTAGCCCATGCAAGATTAGTCAATCAGTAGTTCAGTACCTGAAGGCAGAGTAGGATGATGTCAGCCAGATGAGAGAGAGTCTTGGCAGGGATTGTATTTCGGATGAGCGGATCAACCATCTGTGCCAGCGAAGCATTGTCGTGCAGCCTGGGTATTGCCCATTGCACCAGGTCAGCTTCCTCCTCGTCTGCTTTCGCCGCCTTTCGTCTTGATCTCCAACTGCCATCCATTAAAATACACTTCAACTAGGTAATATACCTTTACATGTTAGGCTCCGTTTGGCACTTCACTTATGCCTGCTCTACTTATCATAGGCAGAATGAGTAGGTTTTTACTTTACTATTTATTTATTTATTTAGTTTTTTTTTTGCATTAGTCGTTCCCTTGTCAGCAATGTAATTCAAGAAAAGGACCTGTCACAAGGGTGCCTTCCTGTTAAGAGCTCGAGAAGCAACACCCCAAAATCATAAACATCTTCTTTCGTGCTCCCGTGTATGTCATTATCTTCTGATAAGTCATAACTACTCCCATCAGCTGCTAGCTCAAGAGGCTGTTTTCCACGTACATTGAACATAGAAATAAAAATAGAAATTACTCAGGAAATGAGCAGGTATGAGTGCTATAGGGATGGTGCTTTTTGTAGGAACACAAGTACATTTACTCTTTTACTTTAAGAAGAAATGTTTGAAAAGGAAATGAAAAATAAAAACACTTTAACTCTCAAAAGGCCCTTTATGTGCGTATTTAAGAAAAAGCCAGATTGAGCTTTCTGCGAGACAGAGAAAGATCACTCCTTACAGATAAACTTTTGACACTCATCATCCATGCATGCTTTAAGTTGTTCCAATGCCTGAATAGATGATGTACCTTGAGTTTAACACTGTTTTTTATCAGACGACGTATGTTTGCCAGGCCACAATCTGATATATGAGGCCTCAGGTCCTCATCAAGCAAGATTCTTGCAGCGGTCAAGTTTCCATGCGCGATTGGAGGAACACAAGAAGAATGCATGTAACTGGGGAGCAAAACAAGAAAACAAATGGTTGTGTCAAGGATCAAAATGATACAAAAAGCAGGCTTCCTTTGGTACTGTGGCCATAATAGCATGTAATGTGATCAAATGATTTGCACATACATACATTTGATTACATTACATTATATGTTACCAAACAACACCTTCATTCTTGTGACCAAAGAATATTGATATTCTTACTTCAAAGCTCGGGCAATGCCGAGTGCAACACGGAGACGGAGGTTCCAAGGCAAGGTCATGCTGGCCTCATTATGCAAAGCATCATAGAGAGAGACATTTCTTACATACTCATAAACTAGGACACAATGGCTGCCAACCTCCACAGTGTATCCAATCAGTGTCATTATGTTAGGGTGCCTCAGTCGTGATGTGGTCCTAATCATATCCAACAATTGTTCATCGACGAGAGTCGGCTCTACCTTGTTAATTTGGTACACAATAGACAACTTGCAAAAAACAATAGTAACAGTTTTAGTTGCAGTCTTGCAGATCGGATGCGATGGATTCTTACGAGTAGTTTTACTATTACCTGACCATTGGGAAACTCTGCTCTATAGATCGTTCCAAACGATCCATCTCCAATAAGGTTTTCTTGACTGAAGCTGTTTGTGGCTGCTTCAATCTCTGCCATTGTGTAATGTTTCACACACATTGGGATTTTGCATTTCTTGGCAAAACTTCTTCTTGTGGACACATTCACAGCTGTGGTGGGAGCAGAAGGTGGTAACTGCAGCAGAGAAACCATATGGATCAATGGAAATCTGAAAAGAGCTATTGAAAGAAAATGGTTAGCAAAATTTGGAAAGGAAAAAACACTGTTAAGGAAAATAAAAACACTGTTTTTCATCATACTTATTTTATTTATTAACATATGCGTAGTATCATACTACGTATATAAGACCAAGAAATCTAAACATATGGAAACTTTTGCAAAACCTTAGGTACACTCAGCTATCCATAGCATTTTTGCATAAATTTTCCCTAGTATTTGCGGGATCCAAACATACCCCTAGAGGTTCTGGAAGAAATCTCATTCTTGATGATTGATGGCTGTCTTCTTGAGCTGCAGTGGAAAAATCTGCAGTTTTGAAGAACAAAGTTAGAAATAATGAAGAACCGGTTTATCAATTATTCGCTTTGAACATATTACAAAAAATTGATATGCCTAACCTCTAATTGTAGAACTGGTTGGAAAAGATTGAGTTGGGCTTTGATTTCCTTCTATAACGTCTAACGACTTCTTATGAGACCCACAGAGCAACACAAGGACCAATGTCGCAACACAGATTCCCAAAATAGTGGCTCCAACCACTATAATAACTATTCCTTCAAAGCTTAGTCTTTTCTTCTTGTGCCCTCCAATCTGTGGACTTGGTGGACTGCTAATATTCTGCTCATTGTGCAAAAAGTCAAGAGGGAAACTCCATGGTGTATAGTTCTGTATTCTATCAAACCTGTTACCACCAATCCTATTTGAAGCCAAAGGAGGGAGAGTGTTTAAATGGGAAAATGGGAATGAATGAGGATATGTCAAAACCAAAAAGTAGTGATTTGAGTTTACCATAAGTTCCTAATCTTTTGAAAAGTTTCTGGGATCACTCCACTGAAATGGTTATCTGCAATGTTCCTGGAAAAGTATACAAAGTGAGCAAACAAACTTTTTCACAACTTACAATATTGTGGATGCTTCAGGTATGGATAATTTACTCACAGGTCCTTTAGTGGGAGTTGAGACAAAAGAATGACTGATCCAGTGAGTGAGTTGTTTTGCAGAAACCTACAATTATTCTCTTTTAGGTGTTTAAGTTATCCAAAAATGGGAGAACGGATCATGCTATTGTGAAAAAACAGAGAAATAAAGTTACAATGATGTTAGGCTTGTTAACCCTCCAACCGAACTAGGTAGATCTCCAGTGAGGTTATTGTGTGATAGATCCCTGTGATAAAAAAACACAAGTTATCATTAATAATTTCAATAGTTATCAATATAAAATGATGAAGTACTAGATGACTAATCTGTAAAGCTTGAATATCAAATGCATAGTTTGGTCACAACATTCACATCTCAATTCTGACAATTTTATGGTATCAGTATTAAGACAAAAGAAAAGAAATATCTAGAATGATGGTGTACATCTCTGTCAGATTCCCCAAGCCACTGAAATCTCCCAAATGTCCAGATAATATGTTGTGGCTAAGATTCCTGCAACAATCAATGATTACAACACTGGTTTCATTTACTAGAACCATAAGGTTATGTTTGAAACCCGAAAATGGTAGAGAAAATAAAAATGTGGTTAGAAGAATAACATTTATAATTACTTGATTTTACCATGGAAAATGGGAAGTGAAATCAGATCTGTTTACAACTATTTAAAATTTCACATGTATAAAGGCTTCTTAGTAATTATAAGCTAGAAGCATACAAGTAAATATGAGTTTAAACAAAAATCTATATTTCATTCCCACGTGTTATTTCCCTCCAAATTTTGCCTCTATCCTCCTCTATATCTTTCCCTAGCATTTTCCGGGTTCCAGAGAGAACATAACAGCTAGTGTAAATCACTGAACTCTACTCACAGTATTTTGAGATTTTTCAGGTTCGATAGAGAATCGGGAATTCTCTGGCTGAAACGATTTAATGCCAAACTCCTGCAGTTCCCATATTAGGAAGGTTAAATATAAAATTCTCATTAGCTGAAGGTATGGAAACAAATTGACTCAACTATGAATAAACAAGGAAACTTAACTCACAAGTGCATCAGATTAAGTGGTAAGGCGTATGGGATTTCACCTTCAATACTGTTTGCGCTCAGGTCCCTAAATGAACAGAAACATCAAACCGATAATAACTGCGAGACAAAACTAATGCTGTGACAGTGAAGATTACACTAACTTACAACTCGATCAACTGTTGAAGATTTGAAATCTGGAAGTCTAAAGTGCCAGTGAGGTTCAAACCAGTAAGACTACTGCAAGAAATCATCATATAAAATAAAGAGCACAGTGAATATGCATGACGGTCTCTTCCAGGACGTAAATTAAATATAGCGTAAGGTGTACATGTGCGTCACTGATGAACCAAAACAGGAAACGCCAACCCAATGATCCTCACAGGGGTCACCTCCCACTAGTTCCCAGTTTTGGAGTTGTGGTGGAGAGTTCAAGGCTATATACATCTCTCTGATAGTTTGAACTGAAAAACATGTACGTAGTATGTATTATCATCAGAAAATAGGCAGAATCGCACTGGAGAATAGGTCGTATTAGAATTTCAGCAATTAACTTCTCAGACTTTTAAAACACCGAGAACAAGAATCTCATGTAAAAGGAATTATCCGGCAAATTTTGAAATCCTAATTCACAGACGCAAAAACAAAAATCCCAAATTCAAGAGGTCGATGATCAGATAACTCCACCGCATCATTCACATAAGCGAGTATAATAATTTGTGAGATATTCAACTAAACTGAAGCTAATAGAATCACACGCAATCTTCTTGTTCTTAAATTGATCAAACAGATCACCTTCGAGTTCATCTGTACGGGCGGATGATAGAAAAGGCAGAATCGCGAGCAAAGAGACGTGCAGGCAAAACAGCACAGCCTGTTTAGACATTTCGAGCAAGACCTGGAAAACTGGAGCCAAAAATCAGCGAGAAATTCAAGTTATATCGGAAAGGCACGCATTGGGAAGAAGAAAAGGCGTGTATCGAACTATAGATATTCTCGTAAGTATACGTTTTACGAATTGAGTTCTACCGCAGATTCTGGAGGGGAGAAAATCTATGATTACTTGGAAAGGAGGCGGTTTAACAGTAGGAGAAGTGTTGTTATTTTTGGAAGTAAGAATAGCTGAGGTCAGACTGTTAGGCAGTTACAGACACGTGCCTCTCACTCGCTCTTCTCCGCGCCCTTTCACTGACGTGTACTCTGTGATTCAACCTTTGGCTTCCCGCCGCTTTCTGTTTTATGTTCTGGTTTACTCCAAACTGGATTTCAATTTTCAAGCAAATTCGTAAAGGGCGACCGATCAGTTCCGAAAATTCAATTCAATTAATTCAAATCTAATGTGTAACAAGTAACTTAAAAATATCATTTTACACTCGTACATAATTATTCATATGCATGATATAATTTCAGCCAAAAAACATGCATAATATATATTTTTTGCATTGTCAAATTAGTTATAGTGATAACAATTATTGTTATAAAAAAAATATGTAGATTAGGATGTTTTTACTTGTACTGTAATTTGTTGATCTGGTCTAGTCTGGTCTGATCTGGTAAATGTCTAGTTTCTGTCTATTTTATAATTACGGAAGTCAAGTCTGGTATGATCTGGTCTATTTAAGTTTGGTCTGGTCTGATCTGTTTAAGTCTGATCTAGTCTGGTCTGGGACTAAAAATAGTACAATTAAAAACATCTTAAATAATCATGCGGATTTTAAACTTCATATACTCCGTATATTTCTTTTGTAATAAGAGTATAATCATTAATTTTTCTTACTCCGTATAAGATACAGAGTACCAATAAAATTAACAGTTTTTTGTTAAAATTATTGTTATACCAATTAAAAAGTAATAGGATTCATTAAAAAATGCGATAAAAAATGATGTTCTCTCAAAAACATACTATGTGATAATGGTTAAGAAATAATTGAAATCCCTTTCTTATTTATTTTCAAATTGAGATTTTACATGTAGTACTGATATTATTACTTTTGAGATATGAATTAAAATAAGAGAAGCATTAGAAAATATTAATTGTGATTTTCAAATTAAGGAATTAAACAGTACAAATTAATAAAATTAGATAACTTAACAAACTACTACGTATGAGTATATACTCTTTTTGTGATTCTCTAAATCAAATATAAACCATATTTTTGTATTACTACATTCAATGTTCCAAAAGGCTCCGCCAAGGCGCGCCTTAACTTGATGCGTTAATGAAACGCCTCGTGTTGTTCATAGGCGTGAACAAAGGCTGGAACTAATTTCCAGCCGTCAATTTTGACTCACTTTTGACTAGCTCAAGAGATTTTTAAATCAAAAAGCCGTGTCCTGTTATGAAAGCCTGCTAGACGGAATGTGTAGAGGAATTCATCTTCCCCAACCGGTGTGGGAAAGATGATAAAAAATGAACATGCAAAATCCTTCTTTCACTACCGCTACTAGAACTCCGTCCCAAGTATTATCATTGATAATTTTTTCTATATATTACCTTCATTCTTAAATAAATGCAACACTTTGACTTTTACACTATTCACATGTTCTACTTTGACTACGTTTTATTTATTAATGTAATAATATTATTTTATGAAAAAATATTGTTAAACTTGTTTCATTGTAAATTTTCATAATCTAATTTTTTAATTTTTTTACTAATACAAAATCATTTATATTAATGGTCAAAGTTGTGTCTCGGCAAGTGTGAAATGTTGACCGTTGCATTTATTTAAGAACGGAGGAAGTACTACATTACTACATATTGTTTACGTAGTATGATGTTATTAAAACGTGTAGTCAATTTCAAAAAATGATTTGACTGCCTTCTCGATTGAATTTTGAGCTGAAATTTGGTATGAATAAACTAGACTTGATGAGGAACATGTTCAAAAAAACTCATCAAAAAATTCCACCGGGAACCGCCCCAAACATCAAAGTTCGGACGGAAGCTCCCGTCCCTCTGGCTGGACCTGAGCATTTCTCATTGTTATTATATTATTATAAAATTTTGTTAATATCATTATCAACACCCATTTTTAATGGATTTTTTTTATCTAAAGTATTACTATAATAAAATTAATGGACAAAATGACTGATTAATGATTGTGTTTTTATAATCAGTGTAACGTAAAGTTAGAATCTAGTTGTAGTCACTATAAGTTACTCTGTATCACATTTTTATCAAATTATTTTATTTTGGTCATGCACTACATATTATTTCTTTTTATTAATACTAATATTATCACTCAACGAGTTTTTCTAGCTCTGATTTTTGTGTAACTGCGAAATATATTTGCTAGATTTAGGATTCGATAAATCTTATTTGTTGAAATTGAATAGTATGATGTTCTGGAATAAGATTATTTAATATTAAATTTAAATATTCAAAAATAGCTCTAGGGAAATTAAAAAAAAAAAGCTAAAAACTGAAAACGCCTTTTCACGCCTAAACCCCGCCTAAGCCCGCCTAGGCTTCAAAGGCTTAAGGCTTGACCATGCCGCCTCGACGCGCTTTACGCCTTTTAGAACATTGACTACATTCTTCGTAGGTTAATGGAATCCGTATTTCCTACTTAATGTGCGTGCATTAAGGATAAAAAAAAATGTATTAATATCAAATTTGCATGTCAATTGTCTGGATTATATTAATGTCATATTGAGAATTTTGACGTAAAAAATTGAAATAGTATTGATCATGTGTAATATAATACTACGTAACTTATGAGTACATGTACACTACGTAATTCTCAAATTAAATCTAAAACACATGTCTTTTTATTATTATGTTCTCCATAACATAATATTATGAAATTGATGCTCTCTCTTGAATATGCATGCATTAAAGATAAAAAAATTGAATAATTTTTAATTTGTGTATTATAAAATTCTGTCATTATTGTAATATTTTTTAAAAGAAAAGATTTTATTGATATGAAAAAGGAGTACAATGCGAGAAAGTAAGGATTAAAAGAAAAAGTAAAAGTACGAAGTTAAAGGAAAAGTAGTAAAAAAGAAAAAAGTGCTATTCCCACGGGAAATCTCTGGATTGGGACTGAGTTTTCATGCTCTGACGCCTCTTATTTTTTTTAGATCTCTTGTAGATTTTTAGCTGGGTGTTCAAGTTTTTGGTCGGCAGGCAGTTTTCTGTGGTTATGAAATTAGCTTTGCGGCAGAACGCGGCATTGAATTTTGATTTCCTTATTTCTTCGGGATAAGAAATAGGAGGACGGCGATCTCTCTCGGTTGCGTGTCCAAAGAAGTCATCTGTAAAGAGTGAGAGAGTGAGTCATCTGAATGATCAAAATCGTTAGATGCATCTGAATAAGCCTGAATCAATGGCAGCTGGGGTTGTTTCCCAGCAAAGAAGACGTGGTAATTTTCAGTATCTGCCGCGTGGATCTGATAATTAAAAATTAGTTTAGATCGAGATGTGGGTTCCTCTGTTTCAAACACACTCTCGTGGCGTGTTGAAGAGATATTGAGGCATCTTGCATTGATTTTGAGAGCTCTGCAAAATTTGAAAGTCTATTGTAAATATATGTGCATTTGAAAGTCATTCGTTCTCCATATCCTTATCCACTATACATGTCAAATAGAAACATTTTACATGTCTATTGGTACGTACTAGGAGATCCAAGTATTAATATAAAGTACTCCCTCTGTCCCTGAATTTAGTTCCATTCCGCTTTTCGAGAGTCAACTTAAATCACTCTTAAACTCTTACTTTTTGTATCAAAACTTTATGAAAATTGATTTTTTTTGCAGGTTTTGTAGCGGGTTTAATGAAGTTTCTGAATATGTAAATTTTATTTACTAAAAATAATCCGAGTTTTCACAGGGATCATTTAACTTTATCGTCGGTCAACCTTCATAATCCGCAATTGGAACAACATTCAGGGACGGAGGGAGTATATATGTACAAAAATTATGTTAAGAATAAGGCACTAACTAATACTCTGAAGAGTGAAGATATTACTACTTCGTATATATAGGATATATTGATGTTGTTATATCGTGGGAGTAGGTCATGGTTGCATCATATTATCACAGCTAAAACGACGTCATTTGAATTTAAGTTTAATCAAGAAAAATGTGCATGAAGAGTGACTTTCATTTGTCTCAATATTTTTCATGATGTAAATCATGTGCGCTAAAATGTAATTCGCGTTGTTACAAATTTAATATCAGTTAGGGGACAAAATAACTCGTGTATTGGAACGTAACTCGTGTTACTCCCTCGAGTGGGTATTCTCTCGGTTTTTGTTATTAAATGTAAATCGCGTGTATACAAAATATAACTGGCTGAAGCAAGACGAAATGTAATTGACTTTAATGGAAATGTAACTGATAGAGTATGTGGCTCAACCGCTCAACCCCACAGCCCACATACTCCCATTAAGCTACAGCAGGCTCAACTATCACAATGGCCTGGGCCCAAACAAGCAAATGACCACCCCTCGGTGGGCTTCCGAGGCCCATGGGCCACAACAACTCAGAATGGACATCCAAGAGAATCGATTCACAATATCAGTCCTCGGGAATGAACCCTCGGACCTCGGTCAAGAGGCCACTCGGTACTCCTTCGTCCAGCACTCAACTACCGCATTTAATGTTCTGCCACACGCCCAGATCTGTCTTACATTTAATGCACTTAGCATTTATGACTGGTATAAATAGTCCCCCTTAGGCAGGTGTAACAGTTCGGAAAATCACTAATACAAATTACATTTCTCTCTCTAACTTACTACCTCTGCCTTCACTCTACTTACCCCTAGCAGTATCCCGATTTAGCGAGCTATCATTTGGTGCTCTTATTGAGAGAAGAATTATCAAGTTAGAACCCTCCTTCAATAGAAAAACACCCCTCGGAAAATGGGAAAACCCAGAAACTCCAAGCAAGCCATCGTGCATCCCTGCCAGATCCCCGAGGGCGCAACCGATGTCGTTGTCACGTCAAAGAAGGCCGTCGAGGGTGTTATGACCACGGCGCCAGAGCAAGTCACTATCGACCTTTGCACTACCCTTCAGTAAAATTCCCCTAATGCTCGCATCGAGCTCGAGAACCAAAGGAAGAAACAGAGCGAGCAGTAGACGCCCCTGATCCTAGTGATCGATGTCTGGACCGCGTTAAGAATTCGATCATGGTCATCGGTAACAACGAACGGGTCATGACTGAGGACATTGCCTCCTAGGAGGTCCACTCTCGAAACAAGGTACTCTTTAACCATGAACAACCCCACTCCTCAACTTTTGA